GTTTCGTGGTTCCTCTTTGAGCCGGGAAACGTTTTCCCCTCTAGACTCGCAGCCGTGGCCCAGGGGTGCGGTGTGAGCCCACGTTGTTCATCGTCCCGCGGTAGTTCTTTCTGCTTCAGGTTCTTTCTGTCAGTCCTGGTTAGCCTCCCCCTCAAGCGTTTTACTGATTTTTATTTTATTTATGTGTTTATTTATTTAGTGAATACACAACAGACAAGAGAAAAATATTTGCAGAAAGATGCAGGTATCTGATCGCAGCCGAGAGCTTAGGTTAAAGCAGAAAGCTGCAGAAGTTGTTGCCAAACTCCACAGAGAGAGAACTTGAGAAGGCTCAGGAATTTCAGCCACTTCTCAAAGCTACCTTTTTTGTTGTTGTTGTTTTACCCAGTTTCACCTTTCCTCATCACAGTAAATCTCTAACCTCTCCCTCTTGCCTCAAGGCCTGCCCATACAAGTAAGACTCTTGTACCAGGGAGCAGTGTTGGGGCATGTTAGGCTTGTAGTTGTGTTCTAACTAGAGTAGGCCAGAAAAGTTCTTTTTCTTCTTCTTTTTTCTTTCTTTTTTTTTTTTTGGGGGGGGGGGGGGGGGGTGGTATGGTTCCCTTGTCCTTTTCCCCCTCCCTTTGCAAGGCCCCATGCTGTCACCACAGCCTTCATGCTCTTCCAGGAGAAGAAGGAGCCCTTATCCAGGGCCAAAGTGGCCCACCCACACAGCAAAGCTAAGCCACAAAAGATGATGGACCAGCTCTGCAAGTTCCTGGCTAGGGTTTTGTCCAGGTCAGTGACAGTTTCCAAATGGTTGTGATTAGAGAAAGCCACGTTCTAAGACTGAATATGGACTTCAGTGAAACTTAAGCCTTGTTTTCAAAGGGGTTTTCAAGAGTGGGAGGAAGGCTAAAATTGAGCTTCTTTGATGTTTGACTCTTGATTCTTTCAGTGGGGTGTGATAGGGTCTAGAAAATCAATGTTAACACTTTAGCTGGTGGCTCTTTCCTTTTGGCTCCCTGGCTCTGTTCATCCCCTTTGCGGAGGACACAGATGAGTGTGGGAAGGCAGGTCGTGCTGTGTCCTCCTTTCTCTTGGTTACTGCTGCAAAGCAGGCAGCCCTGAGAGAACCAGCCTGAAGCTTCGCAGCAGTGTTGGCAAAAGACAAGGTACCTTGAGGATGAAGCGGCTAAGAAAAAAGTGTCTGAGCTGCAACAGGCAGCCTTGGAGGTCTGTTGGGGTATGAGGGCTAATGCTAGAGATGTCACGCAGTGCTTGCCTTGGAGGCAGAGAGCAGGAGTCAGCCTAACTTTCCAGGGCTGTGGCACTGGCAAAGAAGGAAGAGAAAAATGTTTAGAAGTCTCCACTTTGTGTAGATTTGGCCTGAACTCGTGCGCCGATACCATGTTTCTCCATAGCTTTTACAAACCACCAGTGAGATATTTCCTTTTCTGTGGTTGACTCAAGAAAGGGAAGGAGAGCAGAGAGGCGATTTATTTGAAGATGTAATATACTTCCTATCCTAGGATTTGTTGAAAAAAGGAACAAGATGTGGTTGTCCCACCCTACCTATAGAGGGGGAGAGTGTTTAACATGGTGTTTGAATCCATCATTCTCTCAATATGGGGTGGTCTTAATAAAAGTGCTGAGTGTTGGCAAGGCTGCCAGTCCATAGAAGGTACAATACTGACTCTTTACCTGCAGAGGACTGACCATTTGGTATCACCTTTATGTCATGTTACAGGTAAAAAAGACACAAAAAAGATGGATTGGGGAGCTCTGCATGCCATTTTAGGAGGTGTGAATAAACACTCCACCAGCATTGGAAAGATCTGGCTCACAGTCCTGTTCATCTTCCGTATCATGATCCTGGTTGTGGCGGCAGAGAGAGTCTGGGGAGATGAACAACAAGATTTTGTCTGCAACACTCTGCAACCTGGGTGCAAAAATGTTTGCTATGACCATTTTTTCCCTATCTCTCACATCAGACTCTGGGCCCTGCAGCTGATCTTTGTCTCCACACCAGCACTGCTGGTGGCCATGCATGTGGCTTACACCAGGCATGAGAAGAAAAGGCGTCTCAGAAACGGTGAGAAAATTAACATTGAAGAGATGAAGAATGAGAGAATTCACATCCAGGGCCCCTTATGGTGGACATACACCAGCAGTATCTTCTTCAGGATCATCTTTGAAGCTGTCTTCATGTACACCTTCTATTACATGTATGATGGGTACCAAATGCCTCGCCTGGTGAAGTGCAATGCATGGCCCTGCCCCAACACAGTGGACTGTTTTGTTTCTCGTCCCACTGAGAAAACCATGTTCACCATTTTCATGCTTGCTGTGTCTGGGATCTGCATACTGCTGAATTTAGCGGAATTGTGCTACTTAGTGATAAAAGTTTGCATGAGAGAACGCAGGAAATCAACAATTTTAAAATAATTGCCCATTGCCACAATTTCCTAACTTCCCCCTTTTACTCAAACTTTCTTAGGTGTCAGAAGGCAACCTGCAATATTTCCACACTCAAGGCAAAGGATGAAAATGGAAGATGATCCATAATTTCAAAATTATAGCCTCTAAAATTATAGTGGGAAGCTGCCCCTGAGCTTAGTTTGTGAGCTAATTCAGCCAATTCAAATAAAGAGAGCAGCCTTTTGGCAATAACTTTTCCAAGTATGTCTACTGCTGTGCTTCTGTCAGTGGGATAGGGCCACTTCTCAAAAAGTGGGGGTCGGAGTGCTCAGAAGAGGCTCCCATGCCTGAAGGAGAGGCAGAAATTATAGACACGTTACCTGCACTTCAGGGGAAAGCCACTGAGCGAGAGCTTTGATCGGAGCGGGGTGAAGGATTTTTGGAGAACTTAGTGCTGGTGAGAGGCAAAAAGATGGGGAGGCAGTTGAGTTTGTAGCATGTATGTTTTTTCTAGGCCTTTTTTGAGAGCAAGAATGGGGACTGGGGTCACAGCGCTCCAGGGCAGCACCCATGCCACCACCTCCATTGGGGACCAGCCCGACTTCAGCTTTTCAGCCCTGCACTGAGGAGCCTCCCAGCAGGGCTAGCAGTGAGCAGCCTCCCAGGCTATCAACGTGGCAAGGTGGTGGCAGCCTCCCTGCCTTGGCAGGGGCCGCAGCAGCAGGAGGAACGAGGTGTGTGTTCCGTTCCCCAGAGCAGGAGGGGCGGTGGGACTGTCTTCTGCCTGGTTCGCTCTCCCACAGCATTTGCCAGAGACCCTCAGTACAGAAGAGTTTTGTTTTTTTTATCTAATGAAAAGACTTTTTAGTACTTGGCTGAGTCTCCTCCAGCTGTTTATCTTTGAAGATTTTCATTCAGTAAAGAACAAAAATAATGCCTCTTTTTTCATTCTGTTTGCTATCCAGGGCAGAATGATGTTCAGTGGGCTACACCTACCATCAGTCTCTTTCCATCAATCTTCACTTTTACAGAGGCTTTTCTCCTTAAAGTCTTCTCCTTGTACCCTTCAAGGGAGTACATGAACTCACTCCCCATCTCTCTGATATTGGGCCCGCTTGTAGAAAGCTTTTTCTGTTTCTCCTCAATGGCTTTAATAACTATTTTCCCTTCTAAAGAAGGAGCACAATTTCAGCTTCTCTTTTTGCATCTGCCACTTCCTCCAATACACTGAAGTTTATCACTGTGGGAGTAAACAAAGATGCATTAAATAAGGTCCATGTTCTTATTAAGCTATTAAGTGTGCTATTAAGTGTAGCATAAACAGGCTGGCACCCTAAAACCAGTGATACAGCTTAACTGCAGGTGGGAGTGTGGTGGTTAATAAAGGAGTGGGGAAAAATGCAAGCAGCATCCTCAGACATGTGAGCAAAACGATGGAAAGTCATTAATAAAGAGCTGAACTGCAAGCGTGCTCTGTAAAAACATCCTTAGCTCAACTGTAAGAACAAAGCTTGGCACGAAGCAGGTTTGTGCTCACGAGAGTGCCTGCGTTGTTCCATGCGCTGGTACAAAGAGAACAAGCTACTCACACTCCCAGGGCTTTAGTATTACATTTCTTTTGTAAGAACGAGATTTTTTTTTTTCCTGGAACCCTAAATAAAGCCTTTTTTGTTGTTGTTGCCTGGTGTTCTGTCTTACTTGTATGTGCCATGTATTATATAACATGTTTAATGAGAATGTGTTTGCCATAATATAATATGTAGGTGCTAATGCTACATTTAATAGCCAAGAGCTACCGCAAGTGTTTTAGACTTTTGCTGCAGGTTAATTTGCAGGTGGCTGCGTTGCCTGTTGTCCTACAGAATTCATGAGTTGGAACATCACATGTATGACCTGCACTAGAAATCAGTTCTGCTCTAAATCAGGCAGGTAATAGCCGAGCTGCAGCTGTAAATAACTTACCAGCCCCATCAGAGATTGGTCCCCCAATCAGCCTTTGAGTTTGACTGTAATTTAATTTAGACTGGAATAAGAAAGAGAGATGCATCAAAATTGGTAGCAGTATTCAGCTAGAAGTTTGACAACCAGATGTCATGAGTGGAAGAAAGAATTAAACTGGAAAAGTGACTGGAAGTGACCAGGAAAGGCCCTTCATCCAGGACTGCAGCATCAGTACAGGGCTCTCAGGTTATTTACTGCCTAGAACATTTCTTTTCTGTTTGCATTTGACTAAATAGCTGCTTTGTAACAGAGAAAAGAAATCAGCAGCTTCATAGAAAGCAAGCCTTTTGCATTCACTTCTGTGTGCTCCATTGCATGGCTGGCCTCCTGCAAATGGTTTTCCTAACAGATTAAAACATGGTGTTTGTACTGGAGTCATGTCTGTCCTTTCCTGAAGTATCCCAGACATGTCTGCCCTTTGGCGGTTGGCTCCTAGACTCTTCTCTCAGTGAAAGCCACAAGGCTGTTGGTGACCCAAGCCACAAATTGGAAATCAGAGCTCTAATTAGGGGCCAGTGTAAAGTGCAGTCACAATATGGGGCATGATATCAGAATATGTGATATCAGAATGAGGAAGCATCGGAGTGGGATAGGTCAAATTATACCAGAAATCACCAGGAATTTACTGTGGACTTCAAGAGTAAACTTTTATCCCAAACTTTCAAACCAGATCTTGGCAAAAAGAAAGGAAAAAGAAAAAAAAAACAAACTTTACTTGTAACCCAAAAAAAAAAAAAAAACTTTACTTGTAACCCGTGCTTGAGATTTGACTTCCTTCTCATGAAAGAAAGACTTAATTAAAAGGAAAGCAGGAGCTTATATTTTTGATTTAAACAAAAAAAATCAAAAAAATCCTCAGTTATTTAGCAGGTACCATAAGCCAATGCACTGTAGTATTTCCTCTCTCACAGCAAGAATATAAAAGACAACTGTTGTGGTGCTTGCACAGAAAAATCCTCCTATACCACTGAGGTTCAAGTCAAAGTAGCAGTATTGTTAAAAGTTGACTTTGTTTTGTAAAAATTCTACTGCAGCAAATATGCAATAGTTGAGAGCACTTTACCACAAACAGCCTTGTGGAATTTCATCTCTTTTTCTCCTTATCACACCTTCCTCCCCTGCAACATGGGCTAATATGTTTTGTCAGGCAAAAAAACCCACACTCCAAGAGTTCCATGGTATTTTGTGGCCACTAGTTCTGATGTCCCAAACAAAGAGCAGTCACTGCCCTGGGTGTTAGTCACAGGTTTCTTTGAATTTTTCCTTATCCTGTTATCTCTACAGTAATTTTAAATGATTTGGAGCAAAGAAAGTCATATGAATAATGGTGACTTTGCAAGACACGATCAACTGAGACTAATTTTTTACCATCTGTAAAAAATGCTTGTCCCTGTCATTGCTTGTCCCTATCGTTTTCTTTTACAGAAGATGCTTTTGTAAAGTTGGTCCAGCTCTGACCTGGGTATTTTTTACATATGCCCCCCTAGCTACCAAAAAAGCCTCTTTAAGGTGGGTTTGGGTGGAAAAGCTTTAAGCTGTAAGTGGCAGCTGCCCTGCTGGCATTGCACCTTTGCCAAAGAGCTTCAGGTACCTCTGGCACGTGGCACCTACCTTAATGCTACCCTGCAGTTCAGCCTCAGACTTGACTGTACATTCACACGTGCCCCGTCCTTCTTTTCTGCTCGTAATCACTGACATTGATGATTAGTTTTACATCTGCCTGCTCCGTGCCACTGCAGTCCATGGTATCTGAATACATCCCTCTACTAAAGGCAGTCCTGTCCACACGTGCTGCTGGGTAGCGCGGTGCTTGCATCAGCCCTGGGTGCTGATGGCAGCAGGGACAGGCAGGGGAAGGAAGTTTGTGTTGGGTGAACTGGTAGAGAACTTAGCTGGGCTATGAATCACTGCAGCCTGCCCATGAATAAAACCTATTGTGCTCAAAAGTGGTTTGCTCTTCGCTTTTTTTTTTTTTTTTTCCTGCAGAAAAACTGTATCTTGGAAGCTGCTTTGAATCTGTATCATAAAGCCCTGCTTTTACGCTGCTGTCTCAAACACCACTGAGGGGTAGAGAAGAAAGCACAAGAACACAGGCAGGGAACAGCCCAGTTCCTCATATTACAGAGATCCAAACCTCGCTTTGCAGCAAGGCACGGTGCCTACGCTAATAAATACTGTGGTGTCTGAGTGCAGTCACCTGGCCCAAAGCAGGTAGAGTTTCTGAGTGGTCTAATTGTACTGTGCCAGCTTATCTGTGTGGTTAAGCACCTAGATTTGCTGTCCTCTTTGCAATTATGGTACTATAGGCTTGTGAACTGAGAAAGAAAATAGCAGTCCTAAAATATTTAATTTAGAATAATGAAATTTGGTTGAAAATGTTTTGCACGTCATTTTCTACTGAGGTTCAACCTTAAGACAGCACATAAAAATTCCTCTCACATCTCCAAGAAACCCACACAGTAACAAGATTGCTACATTTCTTTTTATGAAGTGACTGAAAAAATTCCCATAAGTTTTCCATATAACTATCAACATTTCTTGTTACAGATCTCCTTTCATTCAATTTGAAATTATTATAGTCTTCCTAGGACAGAGAATCCCTTAATCACATTGTTCCTGAGTTTCCTCAGCTGGAACATAAAAGATGACAACAGTGTCTGGCTCACAGAGAGCAGGAAAGTTTAATTAAGAATTGTTTGCTAAGATCATTGCAAAGATAAGTGTCAGAAAAACATATTTTTTAATTATTGTGACATAAAGATTTCAAACCTATGCAATGTTGCATCATTAATGTAATGCCTAATTATGGCTAGTTATGTCCCTGCCCTAAATATTGCATCTTTTCCAAGGACTGATCATTTAATTTACATTTTAAATGGCTTCCACACTCACTTCAACACAAACAGAAACAAACTACACACTTACCCACTCACATGTTCATGGAGAGAAACAAACTGGCTAAATCATTATCTCACTTTTAGCTCTTAGAAAATTCAAACAATTATGACATGGATTTGTCAGGAATC